GATTAAAAATGACGTTGCGCCACTCGAGCAAAGTTGGGTTTTCAGTACAGAAAACAGAAATTTTTCAATTCAAAGTCATTTTTTATCTTTGTTACTTGTTTTATCTATCATTTGATAGATAATTAAAATATCTTTTTAATAAGATATTGATGAGTAAAATCGGTTAAAAATTATGCGCAAAACACAATAATTAGTTGAGCGACTGTGCTCTGTTTTCTATTTCATACCTTTTAGCTGGCATGCACAATTACGTAATAGGTTTATGCTACGATTTAGTTCATTATTTATAAAAAATTATAATTTCAAGAAAACCCTTTTTTCAGTAATTAATATATTGTGTTTATTATGTTTTATAACATAAATCTGACTATGTGAAGGACAATTTTTATGATAATGTTCGACTACTTGCAGAACATATTGTTTTTCCTCTTCATATTTTGTCAAAATCGAATTATAATCCATCATAAGCCTAATTTCTCTTTCTATTCAATCATTTATCATATGAAATCTGGCACAGAATTCAAGTGCATCTCTATAATCTTGCGTCTCCATCCATGGCGAAGGATCGAAACTGATAAAACTATTAGATAGGCAAAAACGATCAAAAAAATTTGTTATCTCTTCGGTCACGAAATTAATAAGGTTCTTTGAGGAAAATTACTTCATTAGTGGGTTCCCACTCTTTATCTAACCAGAGATAGCTCGGAGATTGGATCTGTGACCGGTAACTCTACAGTTACTATCTACGCAGATGGCTTAAAGATGGAAGGCGGTACGTGAGCAGGTATCTTCTCGAAAAATATGCAGATAAGACAGTGCTACCGAATCCCTGCTACTTACAGCGTCTTTCACGGCGAGATATGTATATGCTATCGAAAAAGAGGTCGTCCTTCGAATATCACGATTTTTGCAGATAGGCCGCACTGAAAGCAATTGAATCTAAATTCCAAGATAGTATTAAAATGTCGCTATTCACTGATGAGCATCAAACCTCATAAGGTTTCTTTTTGTTGGACATAGTACATTTCGAATACTTGGACATAGCAATATTGAAGGGAATGACCCAGCAGATGAGATGGCCAGAAGAGGTTCTGAACTGCATACAGGAAAGGCCGACCTCTCAATACATACACCGATATGTAAACTGTATAGGATAATAGAGGAAATCAATACAGTGACTAACAATTTATAAACTAACCGCGAAGACTGTAAGGTCGCTAGAATCTTATGGGCTAAGTTGAACAAAAATAAAACGAAAAGCCTTTTAGGCTTCAGCAAACCTGCAGTTTATGTGCAGGGGCACTGTGCCATTGCGCCTATGCTTCAACGGTGACGAGTTTCAACAAGTGGATTATGCGGGAGTTGCCAACATAAAGAGGAGGTAAAATCTATCAACCACTTCCTGCGTCTCTGTCCAGGACTTTAAATAAAGCTACTTTAATGTCTTGGGGATCCTTATTTTACTGGCTTGAAAGAGATAACGAAAGCAAACTTATACGATCTCCTCAACTTCATCTGGAAAATCAAATGGTTTAACAAGGATAACAAAGATTAGCAACTCCCATCTCCTGGTAAAATTTTTTGAGAGCATCCTTATGGGCAATATATGTCTCCGAGTAGAAGTGCTGACAACTGTCAGCACGTGCCTTCCGAACATAACCTTACCTAGTGTGGGTTAAATTTTTCACACATATGTTCGTACAAATCATCCGAATTATATGTAAATTGATCTCTTAAAATAAACGTTTTTAGTAAGTACATGATTTTCGCCATCCATCGAAAATCTTAGATGGCACCTGGGCGCCACAGGTAACCATACCTACAACTACAAAATATGTATAGCGTAGCGATCCGAAACCTTGCATTTGTCAAGGGCGGGAACTAAACTAGGAGTAATAAATTGAATCGTTCTGTCTGTGTTATACCAATTTTGTTGAACTGTGACTAAAGATTCAGCTTCCATATTGAGACAAATTTCTTCATCGAATTTATTCCAAATAAAATCAATGGAATTTTTAGCAGCTCTTGCTTTGTTTGCTAAAAGGATATTAACTTCAGTCATATTTCTCTTTGCTTACGAAAAAATTCTTGTTTTGACTACATTTTCAATTCTACTTAAATATCTATATAAATTATTAAATAGAAATGTATTATGTTATTTTTATTTTTTATTTATGTTTCTTCCGTTTCTTGTAAACATTTGTGATTGCATTGTGCATGCCAGCTAAAAGGTATGAAATAGAAAACAGAGCACAGTCGCTCAACTAATTATTGTGTTTTGCGCATAATTTTTAACCGATTTTACTCATCAATATTTTATTAAAAAGATATTTTAATTATCTATCAAATGAGTATATATTAATAACTGTTAAAACAAGTAACAAAGATAAAAAATGACCTTGAATTGAAAAATTTCTGTTTTCTGTACTAAAAACCCAACTTTGCTCGAGTGGCGCAACGTCATTTTTAATCCTATTGCTCCTAAACTTTGGGAATATCATTTTTTTGGTCAATGGCATATTCCTAGGGGGTGCGCTCATTAAAAATCGCATATTAGTTTTTTTGAGCCACCCTAGTGTAACACCATAACCGTATGCCTTTTGGTTTCTTTGTAGCGGTAGATGGCCGATTTCAACACATTCACATGGATATAGTGGACCCATTGTCATCATCGCAGGGGAAGCGCAATATTTTCTCTTGCATCGATCGTATTTATTCGTTGGTCATTCTTTTAGTGGGCATTATAGCAGAAAAATTAACAGCAGCATTCATTGATGGTTGGGTCGCATACTATTTTTATATTTTATATTTTCGTTTTAAAAATATTTGGCAGGAGAGTGCCAGTTATTTATAATTTTTATATTTATAACGCTAAAGTAACAGCAGAATTTTAAGAGTTATTTAAAAAATAAAAGGCACATAAAATAATTAAAACTGATGATAATGATAAATGTTATAGCATTGACAGACGAGCGCACTATATTATCATTAAGCAGCCTTAAATGATCATTTTAAAATTATCCTGACAGACGGTATAAATTATCATTAAGAAGTTGCGCCGTCCATGCTTGGCGCTTGAGTTTTATAATTTGAGCCATCTAAAATCAAAAGAAATATAAAATATATAAAAGAAATATAAAATATATAAAAAAAATATAAAATATATAAAAAAAAATATGAAATATATAAGAATATAACGAGTACTTACAGTTACCAATGTTTCCAAATATGTTTTGTTTACATTTTGACAACCAAATAGCTTGAAATTTGTTCCATTTTTTATTTTGTTTCACTCTCATATGCAGCATTACCATTTTTAAGAACCTAAATGATGAATAAATTGGGTTAAATTCGGAAATGACCATAAATGATCATTTAAAACTGCTAAATGAGCAAATAAATTATAATTTAGCCCCTTAATGATAATTTAGCTTACGTCTGTTGAATGTATTAGTAATATCAATCCCTGCAAAGGTTCAAGCAAACTAGAAGATTAGGCGTTTTCTTTTGTAAGCATATCACAAAAGAACAACAGCTTATTTTAAAAATAACATATGAAACAACAACACTGCTGGCTTATTTAGTCCAAGCTTTTCGAAACCGCTTAACTAATAAGCAGCTCAAATTGCATGGTTGCGAAGACTAAAAACTCGTCTATTGTGAACGATTTCTGGAAGTATATATGAAATTTCCAGTTCACGGTCAGCTATTAACTGTATTTGTAAAATAATAATATACAACTCTTTTTAATTTTCAGCTGCCAACTGCAGTTTTTTAATATAACGTGATTTAATATAATATTTTGCTGTTTAAAAATGAGTGAAACCTACGTAATTGTAGAACTTAAAAGTAAAAATATTAAGGAACTCTATTTTTCTGATTATATATATTTTTATATAGTCATATTGTAACATCACGAAAACGGTGGAGCAATGCTGAAACAATTGGGTTTCTTTTTAGCAGACCAAAAGCATTTTCTACTACCATTCGAGTAGAGCAATGCTTTCCGTTCAATTTTTTTTGTTTTTAATCTAAGTTATCATAGTGTTTGAATGGAGGCAGAAGCCAGTTTAAACACGGATAAGCAGTATTTCCAATAATAAATGATGAGTTTGGAAATAATTCACAGCCTGCAAAACAATGGAATAGTATTGTTTGCGATTGAAAAAATTTTCATGACATGACATGTTGGTCTTATAATTGGAATATGTGTGCAATCTATTGCTCCTATTATGTCTGGTATTCCAGCTTTTCTTCGAACTTCTTCATAACATCGGCTGCAATTGATCCTCTTGGCCACATAATATATTCATGGCTTATTGATATTAAGAAGCCTGTTACATGCCGGACTATACCCCAAGCCACTGCTATTGCAACACCAAAAAGAATTGCCAGCTGTCTGTAAGTAACTGTATTACTTACATACCAGATGTATAAATAAATTGATTTTCTGAATCCCACGCGTTGTCTTCCACCACCAAATTGATTTGAAAAGTACTCGGACTGTGAAAACCGTGTTGAAATAAATATGGCATAATTATTTAAGGCACTTTAGTTTACATGTTTAAAGTCCTGAGCACTTATAGCTTCAATAGTAGCTTCAAAACTGGAACATTTTTCATGTTGCTCCGGTTCTGAATCCGTGTCAGACGAACTTGCACTTTCAAATATGTAAATGTTAATAATTTTGTGACCAAATAATTATAATAAAGTGTTTTTTAGGCTAATTGGTCAAATTTTTTTTTTATTATTGTTGTTAGAAATAAAAATTAAGAAAAGGAAAATTCACAATTTAATTTTTCAATATATTTTTTCAATATTTTATGGCAACCGTGTCGTAAACGAAAGTGCACTTCATTCAACATTTTAGGTAAGTGTTCATTAATGAAATTTTTATATTATATCATTACTTTTTTGTAATTAAAACCACATAATCTTTTACGATTAATATTAGATGTTTTATTTAATAGTTAATGTTATGTTAACTACTTTTCTCTTTTATTTTAAAACAGTAAGGATCAGCAATGTATTGTGGTTTTCAACGGAGGCTCCGTCATCGTGAACAACGTGTATAGAATTTTGGAGAAGTTGCCTATTGACAACACCTTCGAATTAATTTCTAATAGTCATCCTCACCGTTACTGTCAGCGTCGTCTACATTATAGTCAACATCTTTAAAGTCAAAAAAGAACGCAACTACAAAGAAATTTTGTTTATATTTTTTGTTGTTTTTATTTTTAATTTATAAGTTATTAGTGTTATTATTAGCTATTAGTTAAAATAAAACTTATTGAAAATTTGTTTCAAACATCACCTTATTTCTTTTCTATTTGGACTGTGGTTGTTTAGTGTTCAAACTTATTTTCAAGCTCTCTGTTGTCTTCTCAGAACCGACATACGGAATTCATTTTTATCTAAAATAGCAACTCAGTAAAATTTTATTCTTTATTTAATAATATTTACTGCCCGTATTTACCAGAAGGCCAGCACTTTCTTTGATTTCTAGTTATCATTGAAGATGTTTTGATTTTGAATAATTTGTAATTTTTTGTTCTTTTGTATATGCAGCAACTGCCGCTTTTATATCATAAAAAACATTATAAACATTATGTATTAAATTATTTAAATTTTCTGTCTTTTCTTCCATGCTGATTTATTTTCTTTTAACAATACAACATTTAATATCATCTGTTTACATAAAAGCTCTTTCCCATTCCTTAAGTAACTCATGATAATGTAAACGCAAATAGCTCAATGTTACTATATGGCTTATTAAGTACATAGTGGAAACGTAGTATTAGCTTGATCTAATTTTGTGAATAAATCAATGCAATTTATATAATAATAAGTTTGCTTTAAAAGAGTCTGTATAGAAAATTTAAATTTAAATTAAATTAAATTTAAATTTAAATTTTCTAATACCACGGACTTTGCGCGTCAAAACTAACGTTCACCCTTCATGCTTTTTCATTTAACTATTTAAGAATTTTTCTGAAATGATTTTTACCTCACTGAGAGAATTGTTCAAAACTATACAAAATAACTAACAAAAAAAGGCATATATATTTTTTATGACTTAAAATTTTTTAAAATTTTGACAATTGTATATGGTGATTACGTGAAAAAGATTTTGCGATACTCGTAATATAAAATTATTCAAAATTTCTTAGAAGTTTCGCTTATGTATATCATGTGCCACAAACGTTAAACTGACTTTAGAGTTTGAGTGTCGAATCTTTTTTATCTTCTCCTCGCATTGTCAATCAGCGAATACTAGAGTACATAAATATTCTTCAATTTTCTCTAAAAGAGCACATAAAGTTGGTGTACTGTAATCAAACGGTTAAAAGTCTGTGAAAAATAATTGATTAATTTAAATTAAAAAGAATTATTAAATGTGCAATGTATAATGCATCGTTTTTTTGTCCTGTGGCGTTTTTTCTTTAAACGCATATAAATATTTTTCTGCTCGTTTATTGCTGCACCCACAACTTGCAGTATTAAATTGCATGTATCCTTAAATTGGCTACGGTTAACAGATCGATTGGGGTTAGGCGAATATATGCAATAATGAATGGTTTTGTGACTTACAAAAAGGAATATTCATGAATCAAAATTGATATATGTGTTTACAATATTAAAATATGCAACTTATTCAACTTGAATTTTAGTTGTACTCAAATTTAAGGTGAGCCAATAATACAATATCCAGTATAATATCTACATGCGCACAAGGTATTTATATGCATTTAATATAAGTACAAAACGTAAATGATAGTATAGGTATATAATGCTTAAATTAACGTTAATTTATAAAGTTAGTTTACTCATATTTGCATTCCATCTATTGCTATAACACCTAAATTTTAATAGGCTTAAAAGTAATAAAATTGGTTCGCTTATGCTGAAGTACCGATATTTTTCGAGATTTTTTAAATGGGTCATATGGGAGGTGTTCTGCTTTAGGTTCAACTTTTTTTAATATCAAACTCTAATAAATAAGGAAATCATCTTGGTTATTAACTAAACGTAAATTATAATAAATTAAATTCTGATTTATTCGGATTTATGTCACTTCTCATAGTTATAGTCATGTTACAAATAATATATATATTATAATTACTTCGTTATTACATGTTGCTTGAATTAATTTAAAGTTTAACAGTGGCACATGTTTTAGCCGCATTAGTATGGGACATAATAGACAAATAGCGTAGTGTGTAGATTTAATACATGAAAAAAGTATTATGTTCTTTATATCATATGAGATTTTTATATATTAGATTAAATAATATATTAACTTAAAATTATTTTTACCGATTTCTCTATATATTAGCAAATATGTCGCGCTTTAAATTGCGAAGTAACACTGAGGGTTTCCAATTTTTTGAAGAAAATGTAAGCAAAAGTGCTTCAACTAATAAATCTTCGAAAGGATGTTTTAAAAAAATGTATCAGAAGAATAACAAGCTTACATTTGATAAAGGGGAGAATTCAAAGGAGTTGGTATCAAAAAATTTCGGAATTAATTCTATTGTGTGCAAAGTTCCATTGTGTCGAATATCTAGCGTTATAGAAAGACTAAAATTATCGAGATCTTTCACATCCATATCTAAAAATAATGATTGTCAATATATTCAAGCAAAAATTGATAATACATATAAATCAAATAGCAACAAAAAGGTACATGAAAGAGCTAATAGAAATTTATGTTTATATTGCAATAAGAAGTTTACGTCATATAAAATGCAATTAAAACACGTAGAAAAAATTCATATACAACAGAAAGACAGAAGAAGTAGTTGTAGAAATTCTCAGTTACCTTTCGTTTCGAAAAAAGTTAATGTAAATACTCCTATTTTGCAACAATCAATTGAGAATTTTCCTGGATGCTTATTTTGTAAAAGTGGTAAAAGTCATAAAATAACTACTCAAACTAATGATCTTAATGAACTTTTCAAACACCTAACGGAATGTCATGCTGATAAATATTTTGGATGTAAAATTTGTATTATACGTTTTCCAAATGGAGGAAAATTGTCAAAACATATGCAACTTATGCATGATAAACTGTCAAAATGTAATGATACCAAGTCATTATCAGATAATTTGACAGTTGATGAAATAACAAAATTAAAGAAAACTCGTCATAAAAAATTACAAAACGTTCTAAGCACTGATTCTTCAAAGAAAAATATATCTTCAAATTCTGCATCTATTGATAACAATATTCATTTCGACGCCGAAGAACCAATTCTTTCCAGATTGGGTTTAACTCAAAACAGGTTACCTAACAATAGAAAAGGTGGTCGATTAAGGCGGGAAAACAATTTAGCGAACCTACTCTTAAAATCAGATCAATCGACTCTTTTATCATCATCATCTGAAAGGATGAAAGGAAGAAGTAAACTTGTAAAAAATTCATCAATTAACGACGATGATGTTGTGTTCCGTGTTCCTACTAAAACAGATCTATCCTCGTGCATTTTTGATGATGATTTTTATAAAGAAATAGTAACAAATGTTCGAAATAATTTACTATACTATATAGATGGTAAAATAAAAGATACTAACAATGTTGTACCAGAAACTGCTGTTGTTAAAGATACATTTTCGCACATATGTACCACAATTGTTAAAAGCCCAATTGTTACTAATTCTTCTGCAGATATAGAAATTCATGCAGCAACTAGTCTTTCAGCTACTACTGCTTTTCCTACCTTACTTACGACGGAACAATATGGTTCAGATGTAACATCCAAATTTCGAAGACCTCATACAAAAAATTCATGGAAATGGAAATGGGATAGTGTGAAAAAATTTAAATTTATTAATGAAGGAGGTAAAATAATAAAAAAAATGAAACAACCAATGCACGGATTGCGAGATCTTTCAAAGTTAGATATGTGGACTCAACTAACAATGCGTCAGAAGTTTGAACAAAACACAATTTCTAATAATGTAGATAATTCATCTTTAATTGATTCTCATCGAGTAGAAAAACAACGACTAAACAACCACCTTAATAATATTCTAGATACGCGGTTATTCCCTAATATTACACTTGAACAAAATGAACAAGCTATTGTAAAAATAGAACATTTATCTGATACCGATTCACGATTTGGTACTGATGGAAATCGTGATAATTTATTAGATGAATCTTTTACAGATCATGATTTTCTTACTATGTTGCAATTAACACCCCGTAAAAAAGATTTTATTAGTCAACCACAACTTTTACTGAGCGGTGAATGTGTAAGACCACGTTGTTATTTATGTATGTGCTGTGGAGCTAAATTCGAGAAACTTAAATCATTAGAGGAACATAAACTCTATAGACACGCTCTTATATTTGCAACACATTACGAGGTTGTCGGTAGAGATTTAGTACAAGATAATCTATTACGCCATTTATTTATACCAAAACAAGCACTAAGTTATTATGCTACCGATAATAATTATTCAATAAATTTAAGTCGTCTTAATATTTCTTGGGCAAAAAATGATCTAGCAATGCGAATAAATACAGAAGAAGAATCGTCAGATAGCAGGCAATCAAATCCAAATAATTGTATACATACAAGTACTGAGAAAAATGTATGTGAAGATTGTGATACTGATACCAAAACTGCACTTGATATTAGCCATGGCTCACCATCTCAGAGTATACATTCATCTAATTCATCTTATACCACTCCAATTATTAAAACAAGTGACGAATCTAAAAATTCACTTGCTACAATAACTACCTGTACTAAATGCAAACGCAAATGTAAGAGAATATTAGATCTCTATCGCCACATGCTCGACTGTTCCGGTGATTATGTATGGTCAATGGTAAAAAAGCGCAAGTACCGCTATTACTGTGGTTCTAAGAAACGTCGACAATGCAATAAGTACAATCTGTCAAAGTTAAGAAATAAAAAGCGTAAGAAATCCAAAAATTGTCAAACTTTTAATGACACAGAGGAAAGTGGATCAAATTCTTCAAAAATTAAGACACCACAAAGACAACGTCCAAGTGATGGTAAGTTAAAATGTTTTGTTTTTTTATTATTTTTCTTGCACAGCTAAAGCAAGCGAAACACATAAAATCTAAAATCTAGACAATCATTAGAATTATATTGTAATAAAAATTTGTAATTTAGTTTAATTTTAATTTTTTTAATGGTCTTTATAGCTGAATCTATAAAAAAAATGTTGGAAAATCTACCCCCAAAACGCGTCTGTAAGAAAATTTTTCCTGCACTGAACAAAACAATTAAAACGAGAAAGTCCAAACTGATTTCCAAGCACAATATGTATTCTAATCAAATATTAAGAAAAACTAGAGCTAAGCAAATATCACAAGCGACTAAGTTACTTTCAAAGACAAAAAGGCAGTTTCCAAGAAAGAGTACCGAACAGAAAAAGCTTTTACTGAGACTTAATCATAAAAGTAATGTATCAGAAACAGCAAAAAATAAAAAATGTCGTGAAGACATTCTTCAGTTAAAACCACCTTTTGATGTTATCGAAAAAACTACTTTAATGAAACCGGAAGATAAGTTTATAACACCAACTATAGTTATTTTAACTGACACTGACAATGGTGGTTCTTTAAAAGAAAGCACCAATTCCATTAATTCAGATCTGGGCACCAGTAAAAATAATGATGATATTTTAAGTTTTCAGAAGTCCAAGACAAAAGAATTATATGTTGATGAAGATATTTCCCTTAAAAATGAAAGGGTTATAATATGTCCAGAGAAAAACATTGAAATAAACAATGTCGACCAAACCCCGAGAACCATTGAATCTACCGACGTTATGTTAAATGTAAATAAAAAACGAAGTAAAAAGATAAGTGATTGTATTGCTATGCTTACAGATAAATTAGAAGAAAAATTAAAGACTGAACGGAATGTGCAAACCAAAAGTGTAAAAACTGACTTAAATAGTAAAATGGAGTTACAGAATAAATATAAGTTGCCTAAACGTAAAACAACATGCAGACGTATTATAAAACCTGACGGTTTGGAAAAAGTATTAAATATAGGCATCCAAGAAGCTAATACTCTCACTTTAAATAGTACACACCATACTATTCACAAAACTTCTGAACATTTTCTGCATGAAAAACCATTAAGTCAACAACTTCAACCTGTTGTATATGACCCAAGTAAATTAAATAAGTTTCCAAATTTAAGTAATATTGAAAGTAAAATATCGCAAGCACTACCAACTTTACAATCTCTACCTTTATTTTTACCTGTGGAACCTGTTCAATGTAATGACACAAAATTAGTATCTCAATTGCAAAATTCTAATTTCCTACAAATGACGGCACCTAATTCTTGCTGTAGTGTAGAACCACTTAATCTTAGTAGTTCTAAAAATTTGCAAAATCTTGAAACTCCCACTTTTTCAAATACAACTGCGCATAGAATAGGTATACCAGCCAGAAGACAAACAATTTGTGGATTCGAAGCAAGAAACTTAATTTTAAATGAACTGGAGCCTTTAGATCTTTCTATTAAATCTAAAACAGAGAAGAGATATACCAAAATTACCGATCTAACATCGTTAGTAGCATCACCAGTTTCGAACTTACCAACAAATGGTTTTTCTACTAGTGCGTTAACTGCGACTATACCAGTAAATACAGAAACTTTTTCAAAAAAATTATTCTATTCCAATTTAGAGTTGTTAAAGATACCCCAAGTTCGCAATTTAGTGAATAAGATCCCAATTGAGGTTCAGCAAAATACAATTTCCAAGCCAATAAATAAAAAGCGTATAGTGAACAAAATACCTACTTTTGGTGCAGAAGCTGAAAATGATATAAATCATATATGTGTTATCAATAAGCCCGAACATGCCAAAGAAATGTTTTTACAAAAAAAAGAAAACACTAACAAAAATAAACCTGTACAGAAAATGGATGAAATAGTCATTAATCATATAGATGATGCAATAAATTCTGTTATTAATGCTGTTAAAGCTAGTTTTCCAGACAATGAAAATAAAGTGTGCCCTATTGGAAAATCGTCTTCAAAGCAATCTTCATTGGATTTGAATGCTAGTAAACTTAAAGAAGTAAAAGAAGCAGAACCTGTTTTATTGCCATCAAAAATGCAACTTCCCACAAGACGGATGCGCTCTAAGACATTAGATTGTAGACCTACTGCTACAATAATTGGTGACGAAACCAATTCTAACCAAGAAAAAAATGATTTTCAGGTTGCAAAAAATCTTATTCAATGTACGACAAAAAATTCGGATATTATATCGGATGATATACCTATTTCTGCGGAAAATCAAGAAACTATAGAGTGCTTAAAACCCAGTACCAACAAAAAGGTGGATAAAAAAAATTCAGCAACTGTTAATTATTCAGCAGTTGAAGATGTAAATGTAAATTTATTGGAAAGAGAAAAGTTTTCTAATGAAAACTTAAACCCGGGTGAAAATCCTATTATATCGCGTAATGATTCCATTAGTTCATTAATTCCTCTTCCGTTTTCTCATACTGAACTATCGCAGAATAAAACACAAGAAACTACTATAATTAAGAATTTAGAATTAAAAAGTACATTAGCAAATTCTGCTTGTGAAGAAAATATTAACACTAATAATACATCATCTGGATTTCACAGCTGCCAATCTGAAATTATATTAGATCCAAAGAAAAAACCAAGACGTCGCCGGAAAAATGAATTGGCCGCAATTGTTGCGGATCAACTTTTGGAGAGTTTTAAAATTGATAAAACTCGTCGTGATAATTTAAAAAAATTAGAACATCTTGCATATGAAAAGAGTGAGGATTTATTGCTAACAGGAATGTTGCTAATGTCAAGTACAAAACGTAATGCGGCTAGTGTATACCACCCCTTGACTTCCGGTAGCAACACATACAAAGAAAAGTCGATTGACTTAATTAAACGTCAAAAGCAGATCCAGTCAAACATGTTTAAAACAAAAACTGATGAAAAGGAAGACAAAAATAAATCTAATTTATGCGGTCAAAAGTTTGATGAAAATATTGTAGATAAAATAACAACAAATAAAACAACGGACGTTCCGAAAGTTAACATATCAACTGACACAGATATGGACACTGATGGTAAAAAGGTTAAAAGAAGACAGTACCGCCGCAAAGCAAAACTATTAAACCACGCAAATATAACAGTCTTAAAATCTTCACTTGAATCATTTTCAATAGATATTGAGCAACAATTAACAGATATAGAGGCAAAGACTGTTAATTCTATTAAAACACTGGATTCAGACAATATTAATTCATTTGTGAATACTGGAACAAAGCATACATCAATATTAAGGCCAAGTATACTCTCTGCAACATTTGAGAGAGCTAACGTGCAAAATATGGATAATATTAAAAAAAATGAAAAATCATTTAAAAGTGTCATTTCAAGTAGAGACCCTCGCCTAAATAAAAATATCCATAAAGACAACAAAGTGAAACCGTCTGATATGGTGACAAAAATTGATATTTGCGAAATAGAGGATGACAATTATCTGACAGAAATTGCAAAAACTGTTAATGAAAAAATGTCAGACGTAAATCAAGATTTTTTTTATGCAAATGATGGCTTTGAACTCGCAAAAGAATTACAAGATGATTCTAATAGTAAATATTATCGTCCGCCAACATCAATGAGTGTTCGCAGTGCACCAAATTTAAATGATGATCGTTCTAACTTTGGCTCCATATGTGATGAAAACACAAACACAGAAGTAATGGATATGGATTTAGATGATGATTTGAGTGTTTACACAAGCTTTTCACAAGATATTGGTCGTGTACGTGGAAGAAAGCGACGACGACGTAGAAGCATTTTACTCAAACGCAAACCTAAAAAACGATTGGAGCGGGGTTCATCTGGTGAAACATTTATTTGTGACCTTTGCAAAAAAACATTTTATTCATCTAATTCCCTTGCTAAACATAAAACAACTCTTGCACATGTTTCTAAGGTATCTGAATGGGAATATGTTTTATCAAATAATAAAGATCGTCAAATTTCCGAAGCATTAAAGCCAACAGAATTAGAAGGATTTGCTGATGAATTAAATTCGAAGAAAAGCAAATGCTCGAGCGACTCGAATATTCAAACTACAATTCCAAATAAAAACGAAAAATCTGCAAAAGCCGCTCTCATGTTAACGGTGAATAATGCACCAATTGTTCGAAATGACATGATAGACTCCAACAAAATTGAATGCGACATAAATACTAACCAACGGCTAACACTTAACCCTGATGAACGTTTATTCTTTGAATGTTGTAATATTTTAAAGGGAGTCGAAACTTCACGATTAAATAGTAATGATGGCTGTAACAATAGTTCTAACCATTCAAATTTGCATAAGCAAAAAACTTCGCACTCTATGCTGAGTACAACTCCAAAATCATCTAATTTGTGCATACTTCCCAATTCAAATATACAACAAACATTTTGTAAAGACGATGCACTAAACAGTTTGCCTAGAGGTTCAAGTCAGAAGCATATGTTAAATAATATAGCTATTGAAAGGTAATAAAATGCGATATTTGTACATAAGTATTGTATTAATTTATATATATTTACATTTTCAGGAAAAGACTATCACCAAGTTATTCAGGTTTATCCCAATTCTCTGCTGTAACAAATAATGCATCGCGATTTAAAACTAAAGCAGCCATGAAAGGTTACGAAAATGTGAATTTTGATTTAACTGTTCAAGAAATAGAAAGCAAATCTCATACCATATGTAAACTTACTGAATTGGCAGAAATTGCACTTGGTAGTGAAAAATCGAATCCTACTAAATTCAATTCTTCTGGAATTGTAGATGAGAATAAAAGTAATGTTAAGCATTTAAGCTCTCATCTATATATATCAACATCTTTAGGTGGCAATCAGAACAATTCTAATTTAGTTAACCAAAGCCGTGATCATCTAAAAAACACTGAAACTCAAAGTTCAACTTCCTCAAAAACAATAATGCATTCTTCTATAATTAAAGCGGTAATTGAGGAACAAAACAAGCTACCATCGAGTAAAATAATTATACCAGATCGACCATTTAAAAATATTGGTTTGGAAGAAAAAGAATCAATTACATTTCAAAAACCAAAAATAGCACCTATTCCACTTACTGATGATAACAGTGTTACTACTGTTAGTTATTCAGACAGGGATGATTTTGATTTTGCTTCAATGAGTTGTGACGACGATACCAGTACTTTAGTTACTGTAAATGACAAAATAAATAATATTAATCCTACAGAAAGTAGCTCCAGTGGAGCAACTGAAAATAAATCTCTGATAATGGGTCGAATATTTAAAAACGCAAGTACAAAATCAATTAGTGTGAACAAAGTTAAGAACACTGTCATACAAAAGGAACAGTTACAAAAAACTGACCTTAATCAAATATTTGACGAGCTTAGGGGAGATTATAAACAAAAGTCGAAAAACTTAGATAAATGTGATCAAAACGTAATATGTTCTGCTCCTAAAAAGAAGTCTAAAAATTTTGAATTATATAAAAAGTCAGAAAAAATATTTTGCACAAAAGTTAAAGAAAAACCACTAACAGTGCCATCTTACCCAAAATCTTCAATAAAAAATGTAAATATTACATCTCGAAAGAAAAAGAACACAAACTGTAAAAGTAAGAAGTATATATCAAAATTACAAACAGAACTAGGAATGAGTTCTGATGAAGTAGAAAAATTAATAGATGAAGGACAAAGAAAATCAAAACGGCGTTGTGCAACAAAAAGTCAGAAAAAATTTGTAGAAATTTGGAGCTCTGACGAATACGAAGAATTTTTATCCACCAAAGATATTATAGCTCTTATTGAAGAAAAAGAGAAACAGGAACAGCAAAAAAAACGTAAGCACAGCTTGTATCAGTCAAATTTAAATGAAAACAAAGACAAAGAAGTGAATATAGCACATATTACTGAAAATAAAAAAAAAAGCAAACGAACTTTAAATATAGGTGAAAAAGACGTGGGTATAAAAACTATTAATAAAGTCGATAAAAGGAGATATGATAAAAGTATAACTTATACCCCGAATAAATTAAAAAATCATTCTGTCACTGAGATGCCATTAGCTTATTCAGAGAAGAAAAGAAAATCAACGCGATCAAACACACATAAAGTAGGAGATAATCTAAATGTATCTAAAAATAATAATACTGAACAACTAAATCAAAACAATGTAGTACTTTCTGGTATGTTGGAAAAAAAACATGAAAAGGTAATGGCAGTAACTATTCCATCTTTGAAAACTCCTTTGAATAATTTTGAATCTAAACTAAGTAAAAATAAACCCAATACTAATAATGTATCTCACTTTGAAAAATCTGTTAATCCTACAGAACCTAAAGCAATAGCTGTTATTCCAAATGATAAAAATCAAATGCTAGTTAAAAAACGGATAGCTGAAGAACAATTAAAGAATGAAGACGATTTGTATTTATCTGATTTAAAAAAACACAAAAACGTAAAATCACACAAAAGTAAATCAGGCAGTAAAAAAAATTGCAATAAAATAAAATTAATTAAAGAAGATAATGACACGCTTATAGATTCGAAAAAAAAACGCATTAGCGAAAATACAAAACTTGTCCGCAAAACGAATGATGATCCAAACAAGAAAAAAAAGAGAAAAAACCAGCAGAATCAGTCTCCATCCAGACGCAAGCGTGTAGCGACAGAGAATCTCTACTATTGGTCATCATCCAGTGATGAAGATTTTGGGCGTATAAATATATCGCAGAATCATGAACAAGAGCATGATAATGGAGAGCAATATCGAAAGCATGGTTGGATTGTTGGAGACTCCCATAAAAAGCTTGTTACATTGCTTGCCATTGCTAAAGGCAGCAAAAAAGTTGTAAATTGCGGTGTAAAAAAGAAAACACCAAAAAAAAAGAATTAATCATAATTTTAAAAAATATTAAAAAAAGTAAAATGTTATATATAGACTCTAATAAGCAAATTAAATATTGTATGTAATTGCATGTATGTATATAAGGAGTGGTTGTAATATGTATGCTAATTTATCTAAGTTTTTTATTAAAATGTATTTAAAAATAAAGCCCAGCTTATTATTAATATCAATGCCTTCTATATTCAAACAGTTGTATTACAGAAAGAAAAATGTTTAAAAATATCGATGAAGGCGATAAAAAAGTTCAAATTTAATAGTTTTTGATTTATATTATATATTAATTACTATAATTTTTTTCTATATAATAGAATTAGTTTCTATATAATAATTAATAAGTAAATAAAGAAGAAAACATTTACTATTCACAAAAACTGACAACGCTGACTAAAATACATTCGATAAATTGCGCTTATTTACTTTATTATATTATAAAAATCATTCGCAAAAATGTATTTAAGGGCAATCATTGTTAACTTAAAGCATCTGCGCCACACCATTTATCTACTTTAACAATTAGCAAAACGCTGGATTGCCATTTTTTGAAGTGCAAAATCTCGGGTTTTTCCATATTATAAACATTGATCTCAATGTCAATTTCTTCATCGCAGTTACGCATTCATCGATAAGGTCTTTTTTTTTATCGATAATCTAACTTACATTAGTTACCAGTCACTTAAAAAAAATTGTAGGTCATCTTAAAATAATTTTGCTAGGTATTCGGCTTGCGCTGTAATTTTTAATACAGTTCAGTTACATTTCTAATATAACATTGTTGTTTTTGTTATAGCGGGCAGGGACCTAGAAAGCATAGGTGCAAAAAGTTGTAGAAGAAGGGGTTTGCACAGAAGAATCTGGTTTAAGTTTAACCTCTTATATTAAAAATAATTTTTAATAAGAACAAGAATTATATTTTTTTCTAATAATATTTATCGAGTTTTCTTTGATCCCTCAACACTCCCTGCGTTTCGAGTAGTGCATTATTTAAATTTTATTTTTGTAAATCAGAAACCTTACAGTAGTACAAAGCAAGTTTCGCATTAGTTAAAGATTAAATAAAAATTTCATTTTCAATTTTGATTAATCTTGTGTACTAACCTACAGCTTTAGCAAGTGTTTCTGCGTTGTGTTTGGGTACCCGTATGAGTTGGACACTGAGAAACCTAGTCAACTTGTTGGAGGAAACAGTAAGAGAGGAATTGTTAAGGAAGTATCTGTAGGCATATCAGATATATATCAGATATCGGCAGGATATCTGAACTCTTCCATCTCCTGTCTAGAGGAAATGCTAGCTGCACATTGACATCATGGGAGGGTCGGAGGCCAATTGGTGATTGACGAAATTTATGAAAGGTAGCAGCCCTATCACCGATTTTGGCGGGTATGGTTTAATCACTCGTGGCGGCTGAAACACATCAGATTCAAGTATTTACAAGAAATAGAAACCGACCTTATCAAAACTCTACCAACTTAAGGAATGTAAAAAGAACAAGATTTGGACAATTGAACGTGCGAACTTTGCAGCTAACGTAGCAGGAAAAATGGCTACGTTAGCTGCTGGATGCGATAGGTTTAAAATAAGTATGAGTAGTGTTTTGTCAGTTGTGTTCTGTGAGTGAGCTTGTGCTCTGTAGAGCCGTTGGGCTCTATAACAACGAATTAAATCTTCACGGGTAGAAGAAGAATAAACACGAACCATAAAATTGTCTTAAACAAATGTTCTAATGGCAATTACTTATTAAAACGAATCATACATGTTAGATTTTAATTTAAAGAAACAATTACAAAAGGTGAAGTGTGTTGAAAAATAAACAAGGACCGTAAAATTGTATTAAACAAATGTTCTAAAGGCAATTACTTATTTATTAAATCGAGTCATACATGTTAAGTTAATTTATGTAATTTTGTGGAAACAACAATTAAATGTTTAAATAAATATGGAAACAATAAAAAACTAAATGTTTAGCGTTTCATTTTAACGTCATTGCGGTAATAACGAACAGTATCGACAACTACAACCACAGCATCAATATCAGTAACTTCAATAGCAACGTCACTTACGACCTCACCAATAACGACAGCGGGTGTACAAATTGTTTTTGGGTGGTCTGTTGGGAAGACCCGATATTATCTCCACGGTATGCAGGACCCTCACGTCCGAGGCGTTGCAGTTTACGTAAGAAAAATGTTAAGCACTCATCTTATGGATGGGGAGCTGCTTTTGGAACTTTGTGTGAATTATGATTTCAGGATTAGAGGATCCCTATTTCCTCATAAAACGTGTCACAAAGTAGCTGTTTAAGCTAACTAAACAACTAGGTGGAAAATCTTTCTAAAGCCGCGCTCCAATTGAAAACGAAAATAGACAGCTGGTGTTTGCTAAGAACGAGCAGGCAGAAGTATGGAAGTATATATTATTTGGAAGTAAATATTATTTGTGTAAGTTTTAATTTTCAAATTTTAACTCTTATAACATGTCTTAATAATAATATCTGTAGGCATATCAGAGTTGCTATAGTAGTTAATCGAAACGAGATGCTAATATGTTTTGATTTTTTCATTTTTTAGAAAATATGTCGCTGCCGACTTTGTCATCTAATTTGAGTCCTTCAATACAGGACTAGAGTAGAGCAAAGTGTATACAGGCGTCTATTCCATATAGACTTCAACGTATGCGGACATACGAAGGAAAGTAAAACCCACTTTGGAGGTCAAAGCTCTTGGTGAAAATGTCAGAACTATTCAAACCAACACAACATACATTTTAAGAGGAGCAAAGATATATCAGCAAATAAATACCATTCATCCATTGAAAAAGCTCTTGTAACGTTCAACCTTAAAACACATACTGCGAATCTGGAAGGTCCCTATCAGATGGTCTGCTATGTTTCTACAAGGTGGTCTCTAGAAGTTGTTGAGCGTATGATGACTGCAATACAGCAAAAACTATGAGGGAAGCGCCTTATTCTCATTACAGGGGATTTCAACGCTTGGTCAACAATCTGTAGAGGCACATACACAAATCCAAGAGGAAGACTGTTAGAAGAAATATTTGCGATAATGGACTTTGTAATGATGAATACTCCCAGAATTCATATCTTTGACGGTATCAAAGGTAAATCAATAATTGACTTGGCTTTTGCAAACCGCGTCACAGCAAACCTCACCAAATAGAAAATAGAGGAACCTCTCTATGCACATAGTGATCACAGTGCTATAGTGTTAGAAATATGCAGCACGGTGAGACAGCAAGTAGACAAAAGAGTACGGCAGAAAAAATGGAAAATATCGGGCTTCAATTCGGAAGCTTTTCCTTTTCGGAGCACGCTCGCATTTCTGAAATAATATTGAAAGACATAGTAGAACAAATCGCCATATAAATGGAAACCGCGTGCGATATATCTACACTAAGATACATATATAGTGGCATACGACAACCTGTTTACTAGTGGTCTAGCCGATATATGCAGAGCCTGTATAAAAGCACGAAAAAACACGCAAAGGACTAGAAGCTTTAAATGAGCTGCATGCAAGATTCCGCATGCGAAAACATGATCTTGAAAAAGCAATTGAACAGAACAAAAATCGATGCTTTAAGCACATGTAAGACAGTCCTGATAAGGATCTATAGGGTCTATTTTACAACACCATCATGCAGAGAGTAAAAGGACTGAGGTCTCTATACCCTGCATGCCCAATCCTTTTGGAAGAAGTCGTACTGGTATTTTTTTCACCAAAAGAAGCACTAACCGTCCAGGACTTTGATGTGACTATAAATACTAACATACCACTAATAACATCAGAAGAGGTAATGGAGATATCGACCCCAACGTGATAAAACGCGCACAAAAAAACAAAAGAAAAAGTGAAAGGCGTTAAGAAAAAATGACTAACCAGATTGAGAAATTTTTTCCAGCAGAAGAACTACCCATAAAGTAGTGCTTGTCTAATTATCTGGCTGTAGATCAGCTTTCTGTTCTTCACGCTAAGGCTGTTGTGTTTGAAAAGTGGTTGTTAGCAGTGCAGTGTTTTTACGCAACTATTTCTTTTGACTTGTATGAGCTTATGCCAAGTGAACCGCTTATCAAATGTGATTCTTAAGTATTTAATGCTGTCCTCTTAATTAATCGCGATGTCACCGAGTCTCACTCTCGGTGGATGTTGCTTGTGTTTACGAGTGATAAATAGAGCTTTAGTTTTCTCATTGTTTATTTTTATTTCCCATTTCTGGAAGAACTCCAGAATGAGATTAACATGCTCCTGCAGCGTGTTGGTCACATTTCTGGGAAGTTTATCGGAATATAACAAGCGCGTGTCATCTGCGCATAAGGATAGCACCGAGGGACTTAGTATTGGGATGTCAGACGTAAAGATGTTACATAACATGGGGAAGAGTAGAGATCCTTTAGGAACACCGGCTTCTATTCTGCGCACTGACGAGATGGTACTGTTGATTCTTACACAGAAAACCTCTCGCGCAGGAAGCTGCCGAGGATTTCGATTAGTGTCGTTACAACCATTACCTTTCTCGCAAGAGCAACCGGACCTTTACTTTCTACAAATGGAGGCGCAATTTAGTAACGCCGGCATAGTAAGGGACAAATTCGATCACATGGTGGCAGGGCTAAAGCCAAAGAACCTAGGGTGAATAGCCGATATAATTCGAGACCCACCAGCAACATCGAGTACGAAACAATAAAAAAACGGGTAATGAATGAATTCACTGAGTCTGAGTATAAAAGGCTACGCAAATTATTAACAGAGTTGGAGCTGGGCGATATGAAGCCAACGAAACTGCTAAAAAATATTAAAAAAATGGCCGGCAACTCAATGGGAGATGACGTTAAAAAATCGTTATGGCTGTAGAGATTGCGGCTATTAGAACGATAGTAGCATCGGTGGAAGGTGATTCGGCACAGTGGGCCAAAGTCGCGGAAAAAATAGTTGAGGTACAAAATACAAAAACGGTGTATGCAGTACAACACAGCAAAACAGACGAAATAGCCGAGATGAAAAAAGAAATAATAGAACTAAAAGCGATGGTAAAAGATCTAACCATTCAAGTAAACAAAATGGTGCAAATCGCGGTAAAGGACGCTCACCAAGTGGACAAAGAAGTGATATCTGTTTTTATCACCGACATTTTACAAATTGTGTACAGCCCT